AGATCCCTTATTCCACCCATTGGAAGAAAAAAAAATGTCGAATTGGAACATTCTTACTCTTCTTTGAGTACACATGTGTTTTTGAAGGATTTCAGTCTGATACTCCCAATGAATGATACATTTGATGTATTTTCTTTCTTTTCTTTTCTTTTTGGTTGAGGGAAGCCACCCACAGTGGCTCAGGAGCCACCAAGGTTGCACCATGTGATGCCAGGATCAAATCCAGCCAGGCGCATGCTTGGCACACACCCTAACCATTGTACTATCTGCAGGCCCCCATTGCAAATGCTTTTAATGCTACTGAGATTTTTTTTTTTTGCTTTTGCTTTTGCTTTTGCTTTTGCTTTTGCTTTTGGGGTCATACCCGGTGATGCACAGGTTACTCCTGGCTTTGCACTCAGGAATTACTCCTGGCGGTGCTCAGGGGACCATATGGGATGCTGGGAATCAAACGCAGGTCAGCCTCATGCAAGGCAAATGCCCTACCTGCTGTACTATCACTCTAGTCCCTAATGCCACTGAGCTTTACACCGAGAAGTCGTCAGTGGGCATACTTTATGTCATCTATAATTTCCCACAATAAAAAGCCCATGGAAACATATGGGTAGGTACAGAGAGACAGAAAATGGACTGATTACGGCTATATGCGTGGAGGAAGTAGGCGCAGGGAGTAACTGTTTACTTGGGAGAGGGTTTCCTTTGGAGTTTACAAAAATGTTTTGCAAGGATATTGGAAATAGAAAGGATGTAGCATTGGGAGCACTAAATGTCACTGGACTGTTAAGGGTAATTAGTATTATGTTAAGGATAATTAGTATTCTGTTACATGACTTTTATCTCAGTTTCTAAGGCAAGGATCGGAGCTGGAAAAATAGTACAGGGTTTCTGGTGCTTGCTTTGCATGCATCTAACACGAGTTTGTTTCCCAACACCACATGGTCCTCCAAACATTGCCTGGAGTACCTTCTGAGCACTGCTGGGTTGGCCCTAAATCCCCCAGATTAATTATAAATGCGGGAATGAGGCCAGGGAGATGGCTCAACGGGCTGGAGCACTTGCTTTGTAAGCAGCAGTGCTGGTCAACCCTCAGACACTTCCAGGTGTGCCTAACCCCCAAGAAAAGGGGCCTGATCACCTGTGGGGAAATAAAATCCACTAATAAATACTCAGTAGGAAACAAATAGCCTATGCAATGACACGTTTATCAGAATATAAGAAACTCAGTTATAAAAGAGTTAAACTTCCCCACTCTCCAAGGTGGACATGGTGGTAGTGGAAAAGAACAGAGATGTCAGGCAAGGGTTTGGTCCTGGACTCCCAAGATGACCCTCTGCCAAGCACAACAAGCCCCATGGGAAGGAGAGCGCCCCCCTTCTGAAGAACCCAGGCACAATCCCAGGAACGCATCTCATTGGCTGGCAAGGAGCCTGTCTCCATCTCTGAGCCAATCAGTGCTCAAGGACTCAGGGCTCTGATTGGCCAGGCTTGGAACGCAGGGCTCTGACTGGTCAGGCTTGGAACGCAGGGCTCTGATTGGCCAGGTTCCACCTAGCCCTAAGTAGCTGAGTTCAGAGTGGAATCATTTCATAGGAACACTGGGGGCTCCTGTAAGGGAAATTAAATGGACACCGAAGGAGGGGAGAGGGAAGAATTCAAGGGGAGACCCAGGTTTCTGGCAGGAGAGGAGCCTCCACTGGGTGACGCTGAAGCATTTCTCTGACCCAGGGACTTTATGGGCCCCCACAGATCCCTGGGGTGCACCCAGCATCTGGAGCATGCAGGAGAACAGGCATGAAGGGTCCCGGGAAGAAAAGGGAAAAGACTGTTTTAACAAGGAGGGCCCAGTAGCAGAAAGGAAAACAGCTGGGTCACTTCTGGTCACAAAGTATCCAGTATCTCCCTGGGGGCTACGGCCGCTGCTGGATCTCCTTTATTCCCAGGACCCCGGTCCGGAGCAGGGCTTTTCCTCTGGGAAAGGAGGCTGTGCCAGCACCCCAGAGTCCACTGAACACTTGTCCCACCTTCCCAGGCCCATTTGTCACTACCCTGTCAGAGACACAGTGGAACCGAAGCCCGCTTCTCAGTGGGAGGGCTGGAGAAGGTGCCCTGAGCAGCGAGAGCTCAGCGTGGTGCTCTTCTGGGGCAGGGCCAGCCCTCCGCTCCAACGCCCCGGGGAGTCAGCCCTGCCCGTGTTCCTTGGCCTCACCCGAGTGGACATCAAGGACATCGCACTGCAGCTCTAAGCATCCCAGCCTAGGAGTGACTCTGGTCCTGAGGGGAAGTGAAGAAACCCAGAAAGTAGAGGCACCAGAGAATATGGGGGTGCTTTTTGAATTTGCCAAAAATTGTCTTCAATGGGTGGAAGTGATAGTACAGCAGGTAGGGTACTTACTTTGCACATAGCATCTCTGGTTCAATCCCTGGCTCCCCATACGGTGCCCCCCAAGCCCTGCCAGGAGTGATCCCAGAGTGCAGAGTCAGGAGTATGTCTAAGTATCACCTGGTGTGCCCCATACACACACCAAAGAGAGAGACAGAGAGATAGCGATAGAGAGAAATTTTCCCCCAGAGGGAGCTGCTCCTGACTAGGCAGAAGGATGCTTCTTGAATATCCAGGATACCCACAGTGCTAGGTGTTCTATTCCACCTTGGCTAATATTGCTGCTCCAGGCCTCAGTTTCTCCACTCGTGAAATGGGCATGATGCCACCACATCCTGCTATCATGAAGATGGGGCATAATGGAGATGAAGATAACATCCAGGCCAAGGGGAGGACTCAGAAAGCTGCCAGCGGACACAGACATGCTTCCTGGGGAACTGATAACCCCAGAACCCCACCCCATCCCTCGGGTGCTCTGACTCTGAGAGTACCGGGCGCCCAAAAGCAAAGTGTAGTTCATAGAGATGGGGAGGGTCCACGCTGGAGTATCTGGGAGAGGCGGGCTCTGGGTGCTGTTGTTGGGCAGTTGTCAGGGTCCCTGGAAATGAGTCTCAGGCCCTGGAGTGGGTGGGGCCTGCCAGCCCAGGACAGTCAGGCTTAGTGGAGAAGGGCGCAGCCCCTGCACACGTGTGATCCTGAGGAGCTATTCCAGCCGAGGGCCTGTCTCCCGCTCTGTTGGATGGAGGTTCCGCGTTGGCCAGTGTTTCTAGGCTGGGGCTTTTTCCTTGAGAGCATTCTGAGAGGTGGGATGGAGTCTCACGCCCCTGCGCCCATGGCTGCTGTATCAGTCTCTGTTTGCTGCTGTGACAAATAACCCCAAACTTACAGGCTCAAAATCACCCCAATTTGGGGCCAAGGAGAAGGCTCAGTGGGCTGGAGGCAGACTGTGTTCAGAGCCCCCCAGCCCAGCCCCCTTTGGACCCCTGGCTCATGTGGCTGACTGAGCACTTCTGGTAAGCAACGCCCCTGCACAACACACTCACACACACAACAACACGCACATACACAGACACAGCGCCACACTCACACTACCACATTACACACACATACACACACACACACACACACACATACACACACACACGCATCACTACAGATCCAAGATCTGCAACAGGCCTTGGGCCACATTCCCTCAGGAGGCCCCAGGGGAGATGGTAGTGCCTGAGCTCCTCCCCTGCCTCAGCCTCCTGCCTTCCTCCTTGCCCAGCTCAGACATATAAGGTCCTGGGGCCTTAGACGCGACCCGTCTTGGGGGATCATTGTTCTGGGCTTCTGGCCCAGCCCCTGTCCCCAGCTCTGCAGGCCCCACTTCTCTTTCACATGGACCCTGCACGCCTTACACAAACACCAGCCTGAGTGTTGGCCTCATGGGGCCGGGGCTTCCAATCTCACCGACCTTCCGTGATGCAGAGGGGAAGACCCAGGAAAGACTGCCTGGAGGATGGAGATTGATGTTTCCAGAATGTTCCTAGCTAGAAGTCCCAACAAGTCCAGCCTCCCCATTTTACCAGTGGGGAAACTGAGGCATGGAGGTGGCACCTAGAGTCCATGCTTTCCTGAGTTTGTGCTTCAGCCAGCCCCATCATCTACCCTCCCAGAGCTGAGAGCTCTGCTCAGAGTTATGGGGGTGGAGGGCCGCAAGGGTGGTGATGGGTGGAGGGTCCTGCTGTCCTCTGACCTCTGAAGCCCCCCCCCACACACAGCCACAGGCACCCTCAGAAGACAGCTGTGGGGGGCCGAGTCGGGTTTTGCAGGGGTCCACGGAAGGCTCCCTCTGCTGAGAGCAAGAGTTGAATAGCCCTGGGTCAGGCAGGCCCCGCTCTATAGCACAGAAGCACCAGCCTTTTCCGGCCCTCCATTCCCTACAGGAGCCTGCTCCGTGCTCCCCAGCTGCACCTAAGGCTCCCCTGCCCTGGTTCCAGCGCCCCTGCAGGGGAGCACAGCCCACTGCTTAGGCAGGAAGGCAGGAACGGCTACCCTCGGCCTCACATCCGTTCCTGGAACAAGGCTGGGGTCGAGCTCCCGCTCACTTTGAAGAGCCTCCGTCGCTCTTCACTACACCCTGACTGGGGGGCTTGGGGGCCATGGAGTTCCTTGCTCAAGGAAGGGGGCCAGACCTACTTCCAGGACCACTCCCAGATCCCTCCGGGGAGGGGGGACTACACTGCAGCCGGGGCTGCTGCCCAGACTAAGGGGTGGATGTTCGGGGGAACATGGCATGAGCAGGTGTGCACGTCTCCTGGCGAGGAAGTCAGGATAGAGGGACATGGGAGGGAGACAGCTACCCACCCCCCATTCCACCGAAGGATTCAGACTCGATGAGAGGTCTGGTAAGGGGACAGAAACGGGCCCAGGGAGGGCGAGCTGAGCCCAGCCCCTCTTGTGCTGTGCCTGTGCGCCCGTGAGCCAGAGCTCTTGGTGTGGTCGATGCTGACATTGTGAGCTGCATTGTCAGAAACCCTCCCAGCTCTGACACCTGTGGCCCTCGGGCTGTCCTTCCAGGACCCCGTCCCCTCTGTCCCCTTTGTCCCACTGACGCCCCTGTGTCTTCTCTCCCCAGGAGAGCCGCCGCCCGGGACAGGCCACCCGGGCGCCCCGGTAGGGGACGGCCCCTGCCCTGAGGGCCGGGATCATGAAAGGCCTCGGTGACAGCCGCCCCCGCCACCTCTCCGACAGCCTGGACCCCCCTCACGAGCCCTTGTTCGCGGGGCCTGACCGCAACCCCTACCTGCTGTCGCCCACCGAGGCCTTCGCCAGGGAGGCCCGATTCCCCGGCCCCAACACCCTGCCGGGGGATGGGCTCTTCCCGCTCAGCAACCAGCTGCCCGCACCCAGCAGCACCTTCCCCCGCATCCACTACAACTCCCACTTCGAGGTGCCAGAGGAGAGCCCCTTCCCCAGCCACGCCCAGGCCACCAAGATCAACCGGCTGCCGGCCAACCTCCTGGACCAGTTCGAGAAGCAGCTGCCCATCCATCGCGATGGCTTCAGCACGCTCCAGTTCCCCCGCGGGGAGGCCAAGGCCCGGGGCGAGAGCCCGGGCCGCATCCGCCACCTGGTCCACTCGGTCCAGCGGCTCTTCTTCACCAAGGCGCCCTCGCTGGAGGGCACGGCGGGCAAGGTCGGGGGCAACGGCAGCAAGAAAGGCGGCCTGGAGGACAGCAAGGGCCGCCGGGCCAAGAGCAAGGAGCGGGCCAAGGCCGGCGAGCCCAAGAGGCGCAGCCGCTCCAACATCTCGGGCTGGTGGAGCTCAGATGACAACCTGGACGGTGAGGGGGGCGCCTTCCGCGGTCCCGGGCCCACCTCCGGGCTGATGACGCTCGGCCGCCAGCCCGAGCGCAGCCAGCCTCGCTACTTCATGCACGCCTACAACACCATCAGCGGGCACATGCTCAAGGCCGCCAAGACCACCGCCTCGGAGCTGACGGCCCCGCCGCCCCCGCCCGCACCCCCCGCCACCTGCCCCAGCCTGGGCGTGGGCACCGACACCAACTATGTCAAACGGGGCTCCTGGTCCACGCTGACCCTCAGCCACGCCCACGAGGTCTGTCAGAAGACCTCAGCCACCCTGGATAAGAGCCTGCTCAAGTCCAAATCCTGCCACCAGGGGCTTGCCTACCATTACCTGCAGGTGGGTCCCGGCCAGCGCTGGGCGTGGGCTGAGGGGTGAGGGGAGGATTCTGGTTGGGAGGCACAAGTGGGAATTCCTTCCATGAGTCATGCTCACAGCAGACTCTGGCTGGGTCCTTCTGAGTCCAGCTCTGACCATGGCCCTTCATTGCTGAGGGTATTTTATTATTTTTTTTTATTTTTGTAATGAATCACCATGAGATACAGTTACAGACTTACAAACGTTTATGGTTACGTTTCAGTCATACAATGATTGAATACCCATCCCTCCACCAGTGCCCATTCTGTACCACCAATGTTCCCAGTATCCCTCCCACCCCACCCCCCCTCCACCTCTGTATCAGGCGGATTCCCTTTTTACTCGCTCTCTCCTTTAGGTGTTATGGTCTGCAATGCAGGTGTTAAGTGGTCATCATGTTTGGTCTATAGTCTACTTTCAGTACACATCTCCCATCCCGAGCAGGTCCTTTACTTGGATGCCCCTTCTCCATCTGAACTGCCTTTTCCTCCAGCATGTGAGGCCAGCTTCCAAGCCATGGAGCAGTCCTCCTGTTCCTTGTCTCTACTACCTTTTTCTTTTTAAGTACTGCTATTTATTCAACCACTGATTAGCTAATTGAATTGGGCATGAACTCCACCTTACTTTTTCTTTCATTTTTTATAATTTTATTTATTGAATCACCATGAGAGCAGTTACAAAGCTTTCGGGTTTAAATCTCGGTCATACAATGAAACAACCGTACCTTCACCAGTGCCCATTCTCCACCCCCAAAAAACCCAGTATACCCCCATCCCACGCCCTCCCCCTACCTGTGGGGCAGATGATTTCCACATTACTTTCTCTACTTTGATTACATTCAGTATCTTGACACCAGACCCACCATTATTATTTGAGATTTTACCCCAACACTCAGATCTGCTGAAAAGGCAACAGTTTTCTCTACTATCTTTGGGTGTTAGTCTCACTCAGGGTATTTTAAAAGCTTGATTTGGGGAGTGCCTGGGATTGAGCACTCTGTACAGACAGAGAGAGCAAATCCTCCAGCACGGAGCCACATCCCTGGCTCCAGTCCCCACTCTTTACAACACTGATCCGGAAGCTGTGTCGTCCAACCCCCATACAGGACCACCTGCAGGGCATCCTGCTACCCACCTCTGCAGGTCTTGAGCACACAGACCACATAAGATGCAGCTGTGTGTTCCCAAAGCCAGACAAAGGTGTGGCAAAGAGGAAGTGCCCAGAAAATGGGAAAAGGGGGGGGGGGGTTGGTGAGCAGATGGATACCACAGTGAACAGAGCTGCCAGGAACAGGACTTGGTCCCAGTGATTAGGGTGCCAGGTGGGAAAAAACCATGACCTATTGTGTCCATACGACAGTGACCAGTGACGGAGCTCAGTGCCAGGGCAGGAGGGGGCCCGCCCCCTTCCAGTTTCTCTTTCAAATGCAAATGCTTATCAAGGTGCTTATTTCTCGCCCAGGACTCCCTCCTAGAAAGTATCAGGAGGCTCAGATGTAGCTTTGCTACTCCAGTCGCGGGGTCCTTAAGGACAGGGGCTGTGGCTGTGAAGTGGGCGGGGCCAGGAGCAAGTTCCCAAGCAGTGGGGAGAAGCCTCAGGGAGATTTCTGTCCCCATCTGGATGGAAGGACTTGGGGCTTGGGCAGGCTGGCATGGTGACTCACAGGGCTGCAGCACACACTTCACAGACACCAGAGCATGCGGGTGTGGCCAGAAACCAAAACCTAACCAGCAGAGGCCCTTGTGTCGGGCTCTCGCGTCATCAGAGAGAGGAAGGACAGGGCAGGTCTCACCTGCCAAAAGGTACATGTTGAACCAGCATCAAAGCCTGGATTCTACTCCTTCTCTATAAAATTCAGGATTCTTGTCCTTCTCTGTAAAATTCCAAAGACATTGAAACCCTGGGAAAGGCTATATGTCTTTTCATTAGAAGGAAAAAGAAATCCTGGAAGTATATTTCTTATCAGTGAAGCTCTCATGGTTCTCAAGCCATGTCTTTAGTAGAATCAGCAGAGAGAATGTGTGTTACCTGGCTGCATCTCCAAGGGCTCTAGCCTGAGCATGTGAAAATCATCCCAAAGACCAGGAAAAAAGGGCAGGGGGGTCGGGTGGGGGCTGTAGCCTTGGGGCGGTGCTCCCTGCTTGAGTGAAAAGAGGAGGTGACAGGTGGAGAGGGGGGTCGGGGGGAGCAGCAGGCTCTGAGCAGGAACATTCCCTTCTCAAGGGCCAGGAAGGTGGAATGTACAGGTGACTGGGACTGATTAAGCAGCCAGCTAGAGGGGATTGCCCAGCAGGGGTGGGAAGGCCAGCAGGGACCCTCTGCCACTGGATCTGGGACTGGGAATCAGCCACTGGACAGTGCATGCGCCACACAGGAGGAGGTCTCTCTGCGGGCATGGCAGAGCCACAAGTGGTGGCATGGATCTGCTACGTGCACCGAGCATGTGGACCGGGAGGCCCATGGGTGAGTGAGGGCCTAGTGGACATGTGTCTTCGATGTATGGTGACCACCCCACAGTGAGCTGGGCACGGGTGGAGGTGTGGCCACACACAGAGCATGGGGGGAGGAAGGTGAGTAGAAGTGTTTTCTTACCCTGGAGTGTCCAGAGGGTGGATGGCCAGCTAGTATGCACCTCCTCCAGAAGACCCACGGCTCTGTATTGATCCCTCGGCATTAGGTAAACAAGAGGGATGTGGTCCCTGGAAGTCGCCACCAAACAGGGAAGAAGCCTTGAGTGATTTCTGCCACTGCAGGCATGATGACCCTGGGCTCCCCTCACAGCTGTCATCTGTCATTTCACTTGCCCTTATCAGTGCACTCAAGTGTGTGTTTGGGGGTGGGGGGAAGAATCTGAGGCTCAGATGGGAAAATGGAACCCCTTTTCTTTTTAATATTTTTTATTGAGGTACTGTAATTTACAAAGTTATTCATAACGCCCAACTTTACAACCAGCCATGATCAAATTCCATGTGTATGGCTTACCGGACCTCAGATCTCAACCCCATCACACCAGTATCAGACATCACTCCCGCCTGGACTCTGGGGCCATATGGGGTGCCAGGGACTGAACTGGGATCAGCCGCAATGCTCAGCCGCATTGCAAGGCAAAGGCCAAAACCACTGTCCTATCACTCTGGCTCCGGAGCCCCTTTTCAAGCTCACTCCTTGGCTGCCTGCCCAGTGGAAAGGCCCTCAGTGCCTGTCCCCCTCTTCACCTCCCTGTGGAAAAAGGAAGGTGGATGGCCCTGAGGACCCCCACTCCATGCCGATATTCGAGTCCTCCCCGCCCCACACGGGGCCCCTGATTCCGTTGCTCGCTCGGGGCCTGCTGCTGCCTGCTGTGAGGTCCTGCAGCCTCGGAGAGCAGGAAAGCCACGGGAAGGAGGTGCGGAGAACTGGGTGGCTTAGCGCGGGGGCCACCCTGCCGGGGATCCCGCCACCCCGTGAGGCCCCGCTGGCTCCGAACCCACGAATCGTATCGTGCCCAGCCCAGGGCGTGGTCCAGCTGCTCGGTGTTTATTTAGTGGCTGAGCCCAGCACCGAAGGCCGAATCCCGCCCACGTGCATCACGAGGCCGGGGGCTCACGGGAAGTGTGCTCTGCCCGCTGTCCCACCCTCGCCGAGACCTGCCGGCCCTTCCCCAGGTGCCGGGCGGTGGCGGTGAGTGGAGCACCGCGCTGCTGTCCCCGCGCGACGCCGACTCCGCGGCCGAGGGACCCATCCCGTGCCGGCGCATGCGCAGCGGCAGCTACATTAAGGCCATGGGCGACGAGGACAGCGATGAGTCCGGCGGCAGCCCCAAGCCCTCGCCCAAGACAGCGGCGCGGCGCCAGAGCTACCTGAGGGCCACGCAGCAGTCGCTGGGAGAGCAGAGCAACCCCCGCAGGTGAGCGTGCAGCCCCGCCCCCGGGGCCCAAGCCCCGCCCCCGAGCCTGGAGCTCGAGCCCCGCCCCTGAAGTCTGAGCCCGAGCCACGCCTCGAGTCCAAGCCACGCCCTCGGAGCCCAGAGCCCTCCCCTGGAGTCCGAGCCACGTCCCCGTAGCCCAGAGCCACACTCCCGGAGCCTGAGTCATATGCCCGAGCCACGCCCCCCGGAGCTCGAGCCCCGCCCCTGAGCCCAAGCCCCGACCCCGGAACCCAGAGCCCACCCCTTGAGTTCAAGCCTTGACCCCCGGAACCCAGAGTCGCACCCCCCCCCCCCCCCCCCCCCGAGCCCGAGCCACGCCCATGAAGCCCGAGCCACGCCCCGGAGCCCGAGCCACGCCCCTAGAGTCTGAGCCCCGCCCCAGAGCTCAGAGCCCGCCCCTGGAGTCCAAGCCACGCCCCTGGGAACGAGTCACGCCCCCGGAACCTATAGTTACGCCCCTAAGCCTATGGCCACGCCCACCGGAATCAAGTCACACTCCTGGAATCTGAGCCCCTTCCCCGGAGTCCAGAGCCCACCCCTGAAGCCTTAAGCCACGCCTACAGAGTCTAGCTCCCGTAGCTACGCCCCCAGTCTGGAGCTCCGCCCCCGGATCATAAGCTCCGCCTTCTATGTAAAGTCCCGCCCTCACGAAGCCAGGCCCTGTGCATTCTGCTCCCTGATTAGGTTCTTAAATAGCCCCACCTTGATCAAGTTGATCCTGCCCATTGAACCCTCACCCCTTGGAGTGAGCCTCCACTTTACCCTCTCTTGAAGCAAGCTTGCTGTTTTTCCTGCCTCCCGGATAGACCCCTACCCACAATGAACTTAGTCCTTGCTTAAGGAATCTGCTTTTGGGTTAGTCGTGGCCCTTGAGACCCGGGGTCTTAGTTTGGCTCCTGCACTCTGTTCAGTTGACTCTGCAAAGTACTGCCCTTGGGTGAACCATCCCCATCTTCACACCACTCCCATCACAGTTAAAGTCCTGACCTCAGGGGAGACTCTTGCACTATTGAATCAGGAGAGATCTGGAGAGATAGTCAGTTGGGAGTTTCCCTTGCATACACCCAATGTGGGTTCGAACTGAGTTTGATACCGGTCTCCCAAGCCCTGCCAGGAGTACCACTGGGTGTAACACAAAACCCAAACATAAATAGGCCAAGAGAACCTTTCTGAAATGACTGGAAAGCTTGCCAGGTGAGTCCAGTCACAAAGGGGAAATGCCACGAGGCGACCCACTTCTTCCTTTTAGAGAGCCATCACTTGCCAGCACTGCCCAATGGCCAGAGCCCACTCTGTGCCCCTGTGATCCCTGCAGTGTTCCCCATGATTGGGGACAGGGTGAAGCTAAAAGGAGAGAGACAGCCTTCGTCTGGCCCTTTGCCCGGCCTGGCATGCCACCATTCATGCACCTGATCTTCTAAGACATGGAAGAATTCATAAGAGGTTGAAGAAATGAAATGCCTGTACACAGGAAGCAACAATTAAGATGTTAGAACTGAGGCTTTCATCTGAAGAAGTCACCATGGATTTAGCACAGAATGATAGTTATGGAAAAATCTCGAATTAGTGACAAAATGAGTGGCATTTGGTGTAGGGGATTCAGAGTTCACTGAGGAGAAGCAAAGCACTTGGAAGAGTTCAAGGGAATAAGCTGCACCCTAGTTCTTCAGTCACTGGGAGCAAAAGTCCAGGCTTCATGGAGGAGGTGGGTGCGTGGTGAGTAATGCACTCAGGGAAGTCAGGAGTCTCAGAATAGAGAGATAGTACGGGGATTACAGTGCTTGCCTTGCATGCAGCTGACCCCAGTTCGATCCCTGACTCTGCCTATGGTCTACAGATGAGCAGGGGACATTGTGGGAGAGGTGGGCACAGGTCTTGTAGTGAGAGGGAAATCAGTAAGGGTAGTAACAGTAGTGCAGCCAGCTGTTAGTGCCTGCTGCATGCTGAGCTCTGTATCCGTCCCTGCACACAGCAGTCTGCACCCCTATATCCTGGCCCATCCCCAAAGAAACATACTGTAACGAGGTGAGTGAATGCCCAGGGTCACCAGGTGAGAATGCTGGATTCAGTTCTAGGTTAAGGGCCTGAGCTGTTGACTGCTTGCTTGGACCTTATCCAGAGCAGTGGAGGGAGAAGCCCAGGGTTGGTGGGCACAAGAATGATTCATCACCACCACCCCACCGCCAGTAAAATAAAACACAAAATATTTTGGGGCGGATAGTACAGCAAGTAGGGCTTTTGCCTTGCCCGAGCCAGACCCAGGTTTAATCCCTGACATCGTATGTCCCCCCGAGCTGGTCAGGAGTAACCCGAGTGCAGAGCCAGGAATAACCCTAGAGCATCACGTATGTGGCCCAAAAGAAAAAGATTGAACAACCAGCAGCCTAGGGAAAAGAAGTGTTTTGGAGAGCCTGGTGGCAGCCACCCAATGTCATATAGAAAGCGATGCCCTTTGGGCAGCTCCAGCCTGAAGCCAAAGACTTGTTCTATCTCCTGGGGGTTCAGCCCCGCCAGTGGCCCCAGATCTGCAAGGGAGGGGCTCTGTTAAATTCACTGGCTGCTTTTGGTCAGTTTCCGGTTTGAAAGTCTACCGCAAGCTTGTGCTGCCACCTAGCGGCTACTGTGGGCACGACCAGTAAGGGCACCTGCTTCCTGGAGACTAACGGAAGTTTTAAAGCCCAGTGGACCGTCTCCTCTCACTTACAGCCCCTGCCCTGACCAGGCTCGCAGTGACTTCCAGCCTTCCCTCAGCCACTCGATGCAGGGACCACTCATTTTCCCTTTGGGCCTCAGAGTCCCAGGCGGAACACGGGCTAAGCAAGCCCGTCTCCTCCTCACACCCTCACCAGGAGCCTGGACCGCTTGGATTCTGTGGACATGCTGCTACCCTCCAAGTGTCCCAGCTGGGAGGAGGACTACAACCCCATCAACGACAGCCTCAATGACTCCAGCTGCATCAGCCAGGTGAGTGCCGCAGGCAGCCCCAGGGCCCCAAGCCCCAACTCCCACCCTGGGGGGTAGGGGGAGATGCCCAGGCCAGCCCCCTCGTAGTGACCCCCAGGTGTCTGCCCTGTGCATCCGGTGGTCTTTGTTCTCAACATTACCTGCAATGTCTCTGCCTGCTGACTGCCCTGCAGCCCCTGACATCGTGGCCTAAGTAGGGGTGAGGGGGTGGGGAGGGGCCCCTGACCAAGGGGTCACATCAGGGATGTAAGACCCAGGCTGGGGCCAAGAGACCCTGTTTTTGTGCACTGGGCAGTCACCTCCTGCCTAGTCTCATGTCGGACTTCCAGGCTAGCCGGCTCTGCCTCTCACCAAGAAGTACTGAAAGGGACTGGAGCCATAGCACAGCGGGTAGGGCATTTGCCTTGCACGCGGCTGGCCCAGGTTCGATTCCCACATCCTATATGGTCCCCTGAGCACCACCAGGAGTAATTCCTGAGTGCAGAGCCAGGAGTAACCCCTGTGCATTGCCAGGTGTGACCCAAAAAGAAAAAAAAAGAAGTGCTGAAAGCCTTGCATTTTATTGTCTCAGCCCTCCCAGAGGGGGGCTTTGTCACCCCTAATTTGTTTTATAAGTGGGTGAGGGCGGAGCAGCCAGGAGCAGGGCCAGTGCACCATGTCCTGGTCTCACCACAGGGCCAGCCAGGGCTGGGCAGGGCCTGGGGCCTCCAGCTGTGCCCACAGCACTTGGGCACTTGCAAAGGGAGGACAGGCAGGCATTCATGGGTACCCCCCTGCTGTGGAAGGAGAAATGAGCCCCTGTGAGGACAGCTGCCTGTGGGACACGGGAGGCGGTGGGGGCAGTGGGGTGCAGACCACCCCCCTTGCCGGGCCTACAGAGACTCTGGGACCCCCACTCCTCCCCTGGCCAGGCACCTCTGGGATCTGCACTGTCACTCTGAGGCTACGTGCAGAATCTTGGTGCGGGACCCTCTGCCCGGGCTGCCCTCATCCTCACCCAGGTGCCCCCGCATCTCACCCACAGCCTGCCTCCCACCCCACCCCCCACCCCCCCACCCCCGCCCCGTGCGTCCTCGGCAGCCAGAGGGAGCCGGAGCCGGTTAGGGCCCAGTCCCGCAAGCCAAGCCTCCCAGCAGCGCCTCCCCACCTTTTCCACCTCTGTGCTTCTCCCTCGATTTTGTTTGCTCCATTTCTCGCTTCCCGCGTGGCCCCTTGGCTCCTACCGTGGCCCCCTGCCCCTCACTTCCTGCTGGTTCTGCAGTTTTCACCTGTGGCCCCTTTGGAGTATCCTGGGGGCCCAAATGAGAAACGCTGTTCCCGCCCCAGAAACGCTGCCTTAGGGGACCACAGGACTCTGCCACTGTGCAGCCCCACCCGGCTGACTGCCTTTGCTGATGCCTGCCCAGGAGCATGCAGACCTGGGCACAGCTGGCATGCAGACCTGGGCACAGCTGGCATGCAGACCTGGGCACAGATGGCATGCAGACCTGGGCACAGCTGACTCTGGGCGCCAGAGCCACCTCAGGGTGCTACCCCTCACCCAGGCTCACTTTTTCCGAGCTCTCTGCTCTGTGCTGCTGTATTTGCTCTCCAAATTAGGTGCACCCCGCCGGCAGGCAGGGAACCTGCTGTTTGTCCCCCTCTGCCCTCGATGTGGGCATTTGCCCAGAGGTCCCCCCCTTCTCCAACTTTCCACCCAAATCCATCCTTCGCCCTGACTTCCTGTCGGGGGCTGTCTTCTCTCTCTGTTCCCCTCCCCTCCCTCTCAGCCTCTCATTCTCCACGTCTGTCTCTCCACCAGCCCGGCCTGGTCCGGACACCTGCCACCCTTTCGTCTTCTGGCTCCTCAAGAAAGGCTTCTGGGGCCAGCAGGGTGGGGGGCTCAGCCATCTGGCTAGACGGAGCCTGGACCACCCGCGGTAGCCCTCGCTACCCCAGCCTCAGTCTCCCTAACTAACACACGCCCTCTTTCCTGCAGATCTTTGGGCAGGCGTCCCTGCTCCCCCAGTTGTTCAGCCACGAGCAGCAGGTATGTCGTCATCCTCACAAACCCCAAACCCCGAGCCCAGGGCTGGGGCTGAGGTCTGGCCCCAAGCCCAGGCAGGTGCAGGGGAAGGCGGGATGGCTGGGTGGGGTGGACGGAGGAGGGTGCCCTCGCCCCGGCATGTCGCTGTGCGGGGTCTCCATTTCCCCTTCCCTTCCCAGGAGTGAAGACCAGCCGGCTCAGTTCTGTAGCAGGGGTCGAAACAACCTGGGTGAGGACGGGCATTCACTCAGGGTCTGGCTCCAGCCTACCTCCACTACCCCCAAATCCAGGAGGAATCTGGGAACACTCATTTGCATGGGTTGGGGTCAGAGACAGGGTATATTGACCTCTGCTTCCCTGGCCAGGCGCCTCTGGGATCTGCACTGTCACCCTAAGGAGGCTATGTGCAGAATCTGGGTGCAGGATCCTCTGCGCGGGACGCCCTCATCGTCACCTAGGTGCCCCCAGGGTCCCTTCCCTCCTTCCCCGGGCTCTGACCCAAGCTTCGTAGATGTTGAACCATAGGAATGAATGCAGAGACTTTTCCGTTATCCTGGTACTGGACAGAGGGTGTCCCTGCACCCATCCCTCCTCCCCGCCACTCCTCAGCTCTGAGACCAGTGTGGCTCAGGACACGCTCTGAGCTCAACCCGTTATGGCCAGGAGCGGGCAAGGGAGATATTCTCGCCGCGTGCCCTCCAGGACCACCCCACACTTGCTGCACCCCCAGCCCCATCACATTTCCTCATTGTTCCAGGAGGTCTGGGGCAGCAGCTCCCCTCTACCTCCTCCCCTGGTGTCAGCTGGCTCTGCTGAAGCTCTGATATGTTGCCAGATAAATGGCTCCGGGAAGTCCCCTGCCCCCCGAGACCGTGATTAACACACCAGCTCTGTCTCCCAGAGCTCAGGAGCACCCTGGCCGGCATGCACACAGACCTCGCCCTCCGCAGGTCTGGTTCCAGGGACATGCTCTCCGGCTGGAATTTTAAGCAGACCATGCAATGCTCTCATTTCATCTTGACTACAATGCTGGGAAGTCTCAACTCTCATTTTGTAGGCGGGGAAACCGAGGCACAGAGCTGTTAGGAGACTTGCATACTTCCATCGGTTGAGGAAATGATGGGCCTGGATGAAAACCTGAGGGTCTGGTGCCACCATCCATCCCCAAGCAAGACCTGGTTGCCCCCCCTTTTTTTTCTGCTTTTTGGGTCACACCTGGCGATAGTCAGGGCTTACTCCTGGCTCTGCACTCAGGAATTACTCTGGTGGTGCTCAGGGGACTGTATAGGATGTAGGGGCTGAACCTGGGTCGGCTGCATGCAAGGCAACTGCCCTACCCACTGTACTGTCACCCCCACCCCAAGACCTGGTTGCCCTTGAGGGTGGCAGGCTGGCAGAACAGACACCTGACTCTTGAATCTCTGCTCCAAGCAGAGCTTGGGTGTACCGCCCGGCCTACACTGCAGCACTGCCATCCCCAGAATCCTCTGCATTGCTGGCAGTGTCCTGTGATTCACTGTCCACTTCACTAGCTCCACTTGCTGTGAGTGTGGCCAGGATGACCAGAGGACTGGACTTCTCGTTTACATATAACTAACCAAGACCGCAGTAACACACGTAGCTCGTGCCACCATGTTGGATAGCTCCCACTGGGCCATTGGGTCATCACACACCTACTATTCGGGCACCCCATTTCTTTCTGGAAACCTGGATCCAGCAGGTGGTGATAGCCAAGGTCACAGCCTGGTCCAGGGCAATGCTGGCCCCAGACCTGGCTCCATCTTTTCCTCCACCTGGAGCCCACTGACAGTGAATCACAGGACACTGCCTCATGCCATCCCCCGGCCCAGGCCTCCCCCATGACCTCCATCAATGTCCATCACCGTACTCTGATACCTCACTTATGGTGTGTCCCCCACCCCCACCCGTTACTCACATAGCCTGAGACAATGGGCCAGGCCGACCCAGAACCTCCAGGATCTGGAACCTTAATAGCACATTTCTTAAGGGTATTATGGATATTTGGGTGAGGTCCTTTGTCACACACACACACACACACACACACACACACACACACTCCATGCACTCACACACACACAGAATTGCAGTGTTGGATGGTGATTCTGGAGGATACCCAGAGATCTTCTCAGGGTGAGCTAGAGATGAGATGGGTACATGAGCTACAGGTGGCCATTGTCCTTGCTGCCCAGGGCAGACCTCACCAACATGTGCCTCATTCCAGAACCTTCTCACCAGACTATTGCCTGCGTTTCATCTCTGCCTCTGCCTCTGCTCCAGACGCCCGTCCCCAACACCCCCTTGTACCCAGGGGCAACAGCCTTGAAGTACACATGTGGGGGGTCCATTCTGCCCCTTCCTCGCTGAGTGCCCTCAGCAAGCTTTTCCCCCTCACTGCCCTTCAGCTTCACTGTATAAAAGGAGGAATTAGATTCCAAGGCAGTACCTAGCCAGCCCCCCAAACCCCTCCTGCCCCCACTCTGCCCCATTTCTGCCATTGTTCAATGCAGATATTCCTGGCCGATTGCATTTGTCATGTTGAATTCAGATGGTGGACACACAGATACAACCTAGTGAATGCATTGGGCTGGAGCGATGATAGCACAGCGGGGAGGGCGTTTGTCTTGCACACGGCTGACCCGGGTTCAATCCCAGCATCTCATATGGTCCCCAGCACACCACCAGGAGTAATGCCTGAGTGCAGAGTCAGGAGTAACCCCTGTGCATTGCCGGGTATGACCAAAAAAAAAAAAATTAATGCATTGACCAGGGGGAAACAGCAAGAGTTCCTCCAGCATGGTGACCCTGGGGAAACTGAGTCCCAGGGGTGCGAGGGCCTGTTGGTGCCTTAGGGCCGAGCACCCCGCGCTGACCCTGACGCCTGCCTGCCTGCCTTTGCCGGGACAGGTTCGGGATGCGGATCTGAGCGACCAGTACGAGGCGGCCTGCGAGTCCGCCTGCAGCGAGGCGGAGTCGGCCACGGCCGAGGCGCTGGACTTGCCGCTGCCCAGCTACTTCCGCTCCCGCAGCCACAGCTACCTGCGCGCCATCCAGGCGGGCTGCTCGCAGGAGGAGGACAGCGTGTCCCTGCAGTCCCTCTCCCCGCCGCCCAGCACCGGCAGCCTCAGCAACAGCCGCACGCTTCCGAGTGAGTAGCGGCCGCCGCGGGTGGGGCGGGGGCAGGGGGAGAAGCGCCGGAGCTGAGCCACGGGGTGGGCTTGCCCACCGGTCGGCCCCCTGGGACTCGCACGAGGGTCCTGGAGGGGAAACCCACGCCGGGGCGTGAGCTTGGCGGGTCGGGAGCTCGCGGGGTGCTCGGTTGCCCCCTGCTGGCGGCAGGGCTCCCTGACAAGCTCTGTCCCTGCTGCGCGCCTGGCTGCAACCCGCCCTGGGAAACAGGGTCCCTCAAGTCTAGGGAAGGGGGGTTGCAGTTTCTCCTAGGGCGGCAGAGCCCCTTCCTGACATTTCTTCTTAAATCAATGGCTTTTAAGTTTTGTGTGTGTGAGGACCAGCACTCTTCCGAGCACCAGTCCCCAAACCAGCAGATAACCAGTGTGTGTGTGTGTGTGTGTGTGTGTGTGTTTAGGGCAGAAAGATGGCACAATGGGCTGAGCACTAGCATTGCATGCTGAAGGATTAGGTTCAATCCCTGACATCACCCCAATTATGGAGCCAGGAGTGTATGCTCCCCCAAAATGAATTTTTTTTTAAATGCATTGCACTGGGGCTAGAGTGATAGCACAGCAGGTAGGGTGTTTGCCTTGCATGCAGCCAACCTGGGTTCGATTTCCAGCATCCCATATGGTCCCCTGAGCACTGCCAGGGATAATTCCTGAGTGCAGAGCCAGGAATGACCCTGTGCATCACCGGATGTGACCCAAAAAGAAAAAAAAATTAAAACACATTGCACAGCTTAATCAATGACTGAATAAATAGCAGTACTCCTACATTACAAAAAAATATATATATTTTGCAGAGCTGGAAAGATAGCTCCCAGGGCTGGAGCGCATGCTTTACATTGGCGTGTGATTCCTGGTACCGCATGATGCCCCGAGCTCCGAGAGGAGTGGGCCTCAGTAAATAGCCACTCTGGTAGACCAATGGTCTTTCAACCTTTGCAGTCCAGTGGTGGTGCTATGTCTTCTGAAGATGGCTCCGGCATGCCCGGAGGACACGAGGCATCTTCACCCAGAGCAAACCGAGTTGAGTGAGGCTAAAGCAAGTCCAGACCCAGGCCCGTCACAGCCGTTTCCGTGAGCCTGCTCTGGCCCTCATCCCCCAGCTACCAACCGAGGCACATGCAAGGCCTCAACTGCTACGAGGAAGGGAACAGAGCTGCAGAGAGGAGCTGGTCGGAGCTGACAGTCCCTGTGACTGATCCCGACTTGGCTCATTGCCGACAAGAGCAGGCGGGTTAGGTTGGTGTAGGAAAAGCAGCCGTGCTGGTTGCCCTGTTGGTGTTTGCTGGGAATGAATAACCCAGAGCTCCCTGGGTATTCTCCACACAGGAAACCGGCTTGATTCCAGGTGGAAGGAGCTGGTTGTCACAGACCCCAAAGCGTGAAACCACTCTCCCAGTGTTGCCTTCCAAATGGGTGAGGTCCAGTTCATACCCTGAGCCCTCCATGGTGCCGTTTTGTGTCCAGCACCGAAGTGCCCAGCCCAGTCTCATTTCAGAGCTTCCATCCTGGCCTCACGCACCTGCAGCCAGATGCTGACGTGCTGGGCGTGGTGGCCAGTATCACCCCCTGCAGCCAGATGCTAACGTGTGTGGTGTGGTGGCCAGTGTCACCTGTCCCCGTTCACCAGTGGCTGCTTCTGTGCCTTTTGGATGAAAGAGGACAGTGGTCTGACATGAGGACCTGCGTAGATAGACGCCGTGTCACTGGTGCTTTGGAGTTTTTCTGACGCTGCAGACCCCATTTGAGGCTTCCTTTCTGGCAGGGACCAGTCCTTCTAGCTGGTAGCTTTGAGTCCCTCGGCCTGATGGTTCAGGAGTCCCATCCCTTCCCCGCTTGGCTCTGCCAGCTGGGCATCTTGAGTCGAAACCTCTGAGGACATGTCCAGCCCTACTGCCCTGATGCCCTGTGACCCCCAGTGAAAGCGAGGTGGTGGCCTTGGAATGGGTCCACAATAGGCGGCCCTCACAGGGAACACTGCCGGCTACAGTTTAGATGGTTCCACAAGGCTGAGACCTGGGCTTCTTGGGTGCCCTGGAGGACAGTCCACTCCAGTCCCGGGGAAGCCTCATGTAAAGATTAGTACTGCCAAAAGTTCCCTAAACCTGGGGTGGGCCTGGGGGACATATGGCACCCCGGCAGCTTTCCTCATCCCTTACCTCCTCATCCCCCGCCCCAATCCCACGCACTCATGAATAGTCAGAACAGGCTGCTGGGCCCTGTACCTCTGTGGGTCTCTGTACTGGTCAGTGGTGGCTACAGTAAGGCTTTGTCACTACCAAGCACAGCATTGCTTGGGGTGCTCTACCAATTCACCTTCTTTCTGGATTTGTTTTGGAGTCACACCCGGAGGTTCTCAGGGGCTGTTCCTGGCTCTGTGCTCAGGAGTAGCCTCTGGTGGTGCTCATGGGGCTCCCTGTAGTGCCGGGGATTTGAACCTGGGTCATGGCCGCTGCCACTGAATGTTGGGAGGTGTCTTTCCTTCCTACACTCTCTCTCCAGCCCCCACGTTCATTTCTTATTCCCAAGTTTGTGGTTCAGCTGTTCCACCTCCACTCCACATACATGCCTGTCATGTCCCTCTTGGGCCCAAAGGATCTTCTGGTCATCTTGGCCTGGTGGCCTCCCCACGACCCATGTTTCTGGTGATGGCAGCAGGCCTGAGCCAGCCTAATTGGCAGAAGCACATTTCAATCCCCTGCTGTGTAACAGCTGCTCAGATCCTGTTGGCCGGGGACAGACAAACAGCTGAGTGGGCAGGAGCACGCTTTACATGTGGAGAGCCCAGGTTCCCTTCTCTGAGCACTTCTGTGTGTGACAAAAACACAAAACCAAAGCACGGAAAAATTCGGTTGGCTAGAACAGTCCCGTGACTCGGCCCAGAGACCCTTTGGGACCTTGTTTGAGAAGCATTTGGTTTGTTCTGTTTCTTCTGTTGCTTCGGTTTGGTTTGTGTTTGGAGCCACGTCGGGCTGTGTTTTGTTTGCTCCAGGCTCTGTGCTCTGGGATCCTCCCTGGTCTGGATCTGGGGAGGGCCGAGGTCTCAATAATTCAATCGACTATTATCTACTTCCTTGCCACATTTACTCACGTCCCTAACATAATAACAGGCTTGCCCCAAGACTCCCAAAGTCTCACCCGCTAGCAGCTGCTCTTGATGGAGTGACCGACTTACAGTCTAGAAAGAAAGTCATCTGCTGCCAGTCCCCGTCCCCAGCAGGCCGTGGAACACAGGAACAGAGTGGAAGTGCAGCTCACTCATGTTCAGAAATGGGGAGTAGCCGGAGAGTGGGGGTGGAGGGGCGCTGGCCCCGGGGGACAGTGCATATCCTTGGCATGTGGGAGACTCAGCTTCCATTCCCAGCCCTGCACAGTCCCCAGAGCACCCACTGGGAACGATGCCCAAGCAATGTGCTGGGTGTGGCCCCCAGACACAACAGAATTCCTAACCCCAGAAAGGTGGAGAATGTGGCTGCAGGGACTCAACACTCTGTGCCAGGAATTCTGTCCTCAGTAGAAACTGGGCAAATCCTCGGGGATAGGCAAGGGTGGAATTTGCCTTGGCGAGCCCAGATTCTGCTTCCTGGGGGTGGATTCCCTGGTCCATTCTCCACAGCTCTTGGTTCTGCTCTCCGAGAACTCTTCCTGTTCCCAGGAAAAGGCCTCAGAGGACCATGTGTGAAGAAAACCCTGGGGAACGTTCTTCGGGGCTGGGGTAACGACTTTCTCCGCTGGTTCCCTGAGGACAGGTTGAGCCCCAGCCACTTGGATGGTATGACTGGCCGTGGCCCTTTGCACTGAAACTGGTCATAGTTTTAGCCACATACCTACCTCGGACACTCTAAGATTTTCAATGTATGTGATGCCACTTAACTCCATGTGCCAAAAGCCAGCCCCACAGTGAACTGTGAACCATGCTAGTCTCGATTATGACTGCTGTGGGGCTGAGGTTCTCAGCCTCCCGGAAGCCCTTTTGAGAAGTTGAGAACAGTCTTACGTGCTCCCTTATTAGAGTATTAAGAACAGATGTTATAAGGGCTGTAGAGATAGTTCAAAGGGGCAGTGTGCTCAAAGCTCCAAGTTTGATCCTTGGCACTGTATGATCTCCTATATGATCCCCTGTATGATCACTGTATAATCAGTGTATCATCACTGTTTGATACCAGGTAGCCACCAGACCTCCAGTACCACTGGGCACAAGCAGTACTTCATGGCTGGGCCCAAACACAGAACTGTGAGGCCCTTGCATCTGGACCAGATGTCATCAAGACTGGCCTGTGGGCCCCAGAGCACCTTAAACAAAAGAGTTTGACTCGCCTTTGATTTTTATCCGCTCCACAAGCTCTAGTTCAGCTGACCATGACCTTGGTTTGACCCTTGTCCCCAGGCTGGGTCTTAACTTGGGAATGATTTACTGGCTGGAGGACTGGAGTTAATGGATTTTCCAGTGCAGCACATTCCGGGTCTTCTATTTCCTCCAAACCAGAAGGTTTCAAACTCATTTGACCTACCTTCCCCTTTTCAGAAAATAATAATAATAATAATAATAATAGCTCAGTGACTCCTACCTGTAAATCTACCTTCTTTAAGTGAACATATAGATGGTGCCCCCTCCCCGGTGCCCCTGAACAGTCCACCATGGGGGAGGGCGTTGAGGGGGGAACGTGTTACCCACTTTGGAAAACGCCTTCCCCGCACCTCTTCCTATTTCTTTCCTGAGTCCCCCTCCCCCCCCCCCCCCCCCCGCAAATGCTTGGTAAATGCAGGACCAGCTGAATTGGCATATTTGACCTGAAGACTGTCTTGCCTCTTCCCTCTGTTTGGCAGGGACCCTCTCTGACAAGTGCCTCCTTAGGTGACTGTGATCCTGTGGCCATCACAGCGTGCATTGGCACTCACCTCAGGGGCACCTTGCTTCTAGCCTCACAGCTGAGCTCTGCCATTGGCTGGAACTTTGTAGTGGTGCACA